CTTCGTCGTAGCAGCGATGACGGCTGCTCCAGCGGGGAGCTCTCCTCGCTGGTTGCGACGCTGTGCGGTCGGCTGCTGCTGCTGCTGACCGAATGCCCGCCCTTGACCAGCGCAAACAGATTGGAGATGTCGGACAGCGAGAAGTCCTCAGCGAGCGGTGTCTTGTTCTGAATCCTCATCATCCACGACGTGACGCCTGCACCGCGGGGGGAAAGGATAACATATAGCATCGTTACTACTTCATCCACGATGTGACGCCTGGGGAAGCATAACTTGTGTGAGAGAGATTTCTCGCGCAGATCGATTTTGCGCCTATAGTAGCGATATGTAGTACTGATCTCTTGTCAGCTATGCGTCCCTGCAGTTATACCGTGCCATAGTGCTCTGTAATGTCAGCAAATAGTTCCGATGTTATATCTTATTAGGGGTGAATAATGACAAATAATTTGAGATGAATAAGATTTTGAAATTTTTAATTTTGTTGAGATTTTAAAATTTGACATTCGTGAGACATAATGAGCAAGTTGTCATTATTCAACCCTGATAACATATAGCATCAGTACTATGTGCTGACATTACAGAGCACTACGTCACGGTATAACTGCAGGGATGCTTAGCTGACAAGAGATCAGTACTACATATCACTACTATAGGCGAAAAATCGATATGCGCAAGAAATATCTCTAACACACCTGTGGGCCTATTACGACGAGTGTGAATTATTACTACAGATTGACAATCATGGTGAACATCATTCTAATGTAAGTCTTACAGTGTTTACAAAGTAAAACTTTACAAAGTAATTACAGTGGAGGTGACTATTGGGTGCAATTTTACAATTTTGATAGTTTGCTGAAACTATTGAATACTACTGCCGATAACTGCAGCAATTGAAAAATATTGCGATACTATCAGTGTATTATTAAATTGCAGGAAATAAACCAACCTGTTGCAACTATGGAGAACTATCGATTATTTACTGAACTATTGGCGATTATTACCAATGTTTCACTTCGCCATTGATGTATTTCCATCAAGCTAAACGTTGCTTCAATTAATCGATAATTCAGTGCATCGTTACAATCCTAGAAAGCTGTTTGACACGTGTCGTGTAGACATGTGACTTCCCTTACCTTACCTTATCTATCCTATTGGTCCCCTGATGGGACATGTGACATGGTAAACATTAACTGATAATTGCACTGGTGCATAGCATTGTCCGCAACATAATATTAATAATAATAATATTAATAATAAGAGCAACAACATAAATAATAATGATAATAATTATAATAACAATAATAATAACAAGAATAATTTATAGTAACATGCAAAATTATTGCACATCACACCTACAACCATGCTATATACAATCATCATAAAAATCACCCGCAAAACAATGGATATTTAGAAATCTCACCTTAAGCTGTGGACACACTACGCGATTTTTCATGCAATCGAGCCGGCCGGCTCAGTCGAGCAACTCTGTGGACACAATACGCGACTGAGTCGGGCGACTCTGTGGATTTTCAGCAAGCTGATTGGCTGAATTGTACAATCGGCCGACTCGATCGCAGACCCGGGCACACTAGGCGATTGCAGCCGGCCGGCTCAAATAATTATCAAACATGTTTGAATCGGGCGACTCGGCCGGCTGACTCGAAAATCGATGCGACTCACTGGACACACTACGCGATTTTTCATGCGATCGAGCCGGCCGGCTCAGTCGGCCGGCTCGGTCGGCCGGCTCGATCGCATGAAAAATCGCCTAGTGTGTCCGCCCCTTTAAAGGTGTTAACGAGCACCTCGCTCACCTGTCGGACGACGAATGACAACCTCGGCCCAGTCCTGGCACCAGCAGTTGCACAGGTACGGTCCAGACACCTGCCGATGCTTCTCCTGCTGCGACACAGACGACCCCGTATCCAGCGGCAACGGTTTCCACGGCGACGACGCGCCAGCCTTCGGCAAGAACGACGGTGGCATTGGTGGGTCATCGGATGCAGGTGTGGTCACAGGGGTCACGACCTCCTCAATGGGTGACACCATTGGTTGAGAGAAGGACATCTCATCTACACCAGGGTGACAGACAAACATACGCTCTATATGTCTGTAAGTGTTAGGACCTCAAAATAACTTACATTATAATCATTATGGGGTTCATCGTTAACATTACATCATAACGGAATGGAATGAAAGTGTCAATGACACTGTACCTCACCTTGGGTGTGATATAGAAGAAGGAGGGGGATTTATAAAGCAAGAGTATATATGGGAGAACTCCCATTATATAGCATATCTCCCATTATATACACTTGATAATGATATATGCATAAGTTTTGATGCGAAAATAAACGTTTCAGATCTGAAAGTCTGAAATCTTGACGAGAGATGGCGCTACGCCTAAATGATCGCCATTTTGGTTTTCAAATATCGCGCAAAAAAAAACAATAAAATATTCCAGTCAAATTACTGTAACGAAGAATCTAAAACACAATATTACAGGTATATAGGTATGATTGTAGAGTTGTTGACCAGTTAGACAAAATAAACGTAATAGGACGTTGTCATCTCTCCCATAGGAGTAGCAACTGTTTTGGGGCGAGCCTTACACATTCATATATTAAAATTTAACAAAATCGAATGAATCTAGATGGCCATTTTCATTTTTGCCAAAAAGTAGGCGTGGCTCGAAAG